CACAGCTGCGTGGCAATCCCATCTAGAGGGGATGTCACATGACAATCCTAGCTTGGAGGAGCCTTACTAGTACATTACACATCTGGGAGCGGGGTGCAGCTCCCTGGCCAGAAGCTGCAACCCAGTGGAGTGGGCTTGCAACCCCCCATGTAGTGCTATTGGAGGCCAACCCGGATTACCTTGAGTACTGGACACCTAAGAAGGGAACAGGGGACACCTAAGGTGGAAAAAGGAGGAAAAGTTCAATCTCCTTAATTGACTACTAACTCTCCAACCCCTCACCAATTGCCAAGGAAAGGCTTAGGAGGTAACTCTGACCATTTAGTCGGTGGACAATAAGCTGACATTGCCTGAGGAGTGAATGGAGAAGACCCTTAGGCTTCCCAACTTGTGGACAACGACTTCACTAGAGCTTTAACATGATTGTGAAGTTCAGCCAAACCTCCCAGTTTATGGACAGTGAGTTAGCACGGCCAGAAGCAATGGAGGAGCGTCACTTCAGCTGAGGTTGTCGGGAGCCTTCGGGCACCGGGGACCGGTAGAGCAACGTTCGGGCACTGACCATCAAAGAGTGACAACATGAGGACAATGTGGGTTCTTAAGAGTAATTGGCCAACAATAAATGATGTGGGAGATTAAAAGTGGGTAAAGATAGAGTGGGGTTAGTGTGGAAGAGGGGATAATGAGTGGGTGAGCATGAGGAACCAATAGTACATAGGCAAATGTTAGACATGAATTTGAAGAGGGATATTTTATTTGGGAAAAAAGAAAAGGATTTCTCATACCCCATTTCTTGTAAACGATTAGCGATAAGCACCAAGTCTCATTAGAGTCATGTGGTGTGAGGTTGAGGTCTTTAGCATGGGATCGATCAGGTATAAGCGTTGAATCAATAGGATATTCAACACCTCCTGATTGTTTCACTAGGAAGGGTTAACCTGAGGTGCTCAGCGGTTGCCATTAGGTTGTTGGCACTATGCAACCTCAATAGTAGCACTTGAGCTTGCCAGCAAGATTGGATAGTTATGATCCTTAGTGACTCAGGATCAGCTGGATAGTTTATAGCTCAAGGATGCACAACATAGGTGATCATTTGAATTGTCCAAGGTGCTGCAACCCAATTGTGTTCACCATTGGAGTATGTTGTACATGCAATGGTAGAGGGGACGTGGTTACCATAATGTAGTCTTAGACAAGCACCTTTTTAAAGGGTTTGAGATGGTGCTTTTTTAAACTGGCAGTCTACTCTGTGATAATGACAACGAAAGGGAATATTCGTTGGGTGTTCCCATGTTAGGGATGGTAAGCTTATCATGATTTAATAGACCTCTACTAGCTTAAGAGAGCCTAACTCTTATCTATGCTTACAAGGAAAGAGCACTACCATTTTGGATTGAGTTTGGGCAGAAGGAGATGCCACCTCCGAATGTCACAGGCTAAAAAAGGGAAGAATATGATGCAGTTATGGTCCTAAGATATCTAGTGGTAGTATCTAGTATCTTTGTTAGGTGTGCTGGTGTAAGGGGCGGTGGCCCTTTTTGGCCAGACGGGGCTTGGCCCGTTTACCCGTTCGAGTAGGGTTTCGGTCGGAAACGAGCTTGGTGGTAACTTTTGTATTACAGGAGTGTCCCGGTGTTCCTGCTTATATATCCCATGTCCAAGGCAGTCCAAGGGTCATGCCAGAATTGGGTGAGTCACCCAGATTCTGGCATGCCCACCCAGTTTGTAATTTGAATTCCCGTTCCCGGCCCGTTCATCTCACTGGCCCACCGGTCCCTAGCGCCACCCTTCACCGTATTGACCAATACGGCACTCACCCCCTTTGTCCCTTTCACCACCGCCCGGCTCAGTCGCCCTTAGTATACCTAGGGATATGGCCATATCCTGGATATGCATATCCAGGTTATGGGCAGCATATCGCAGGATACGGAGGCCATATCCTGGATATGTATATCCAGGATATGCAACTTTTTCCCGACTCCCCCAAATGTATGAAAGCACTGCTCAGTCGACGCAGTTGTGGTCCATGCAAAAACCCTGAACATTCTCCGGAAGTCCTTATTTAGCTGTGCAAAGTAATGCATAGGGCCACACTGTGCCATCCATGCTTGATTTTTATGTTTGCGTTTACGTTTGTACACGTTTTGCGTGTGAAAACGTAAATTTTCAAAAAGGAGCTATTTTCACAGCTGTGTTTACATATTTCTACGGCTCGTCCTGGCACTCAGGTCACATTGCGAAGTCGCAAACAACGATCAGCCCTCCCTCTCGTCGAGCACCCATAACACAGTGTCCATCTTGCCTTCGGCAAGGTCCAAGACATGGTCGAACAAAAGTTTTTTTTCGCCACCACAGCGCATTTAGCTGCCACTCCCCGTACTCTTTGAGTCTATGTGCATTGTGTTTGTATGCACCGGATAAAACTTTGCTTATTCTTGTGCATATTCAGGCGTACAATTGTAAATACTGTTTTACACGTAAATATGCGTACATACTCAGTGTCTGCGCCGTAAAGACCAAACGCGGTGCCATCGCAACACTGCTTTGAGGAACCGTCAACAAATGGGCCTCAAACTTGAGGCCCATTTTGTCCACTGTTGAGGGCTTTTCTGCTGTGTGCATTAAAAACCGCAGAAGCGCCCTCACCCTCAGTTAATTTCTATGTTCTCTTCACTCAGTGAAATAAACCAGTCGGTTAAAGCAGCCAGCTCCCACATGGACAGGCTCCGTCGGCTGTGCAGGAACACATCCCCCAGGTGCTAAGCTTGAAGGAGCCCTGGCAAGGCATCGCCGGCCTCCCAACCGCAGCTAGCACGTCTGTAGGAATCAGCCACTCTGTGACCTACACCAGCACCGTCCAAGAGGTGTTACACATTACCCCGCATTTTTGTGCGCACTGGTCAGCAGCTTTGACCAGGCTTGGGAAACACCTCATATTTTCGAAGTACGCAGCACTACACGCAGCTGACAAATTCTAAATGCGGGTATTCTTTGCGCACTCAGAACAATTTTCCTTAAAACCATTCATCTGGCTGGCGAAGGCCTGTGACAATCATTTCGCGGAACTCTACACTGTGCGTCAGAGCACCTGGGGAGCTGGGGGCGCTGCGGATGGACCAAGAAGCGATTGCGATGGGCATGCTAACGATCCCCAACACGGGTTGATGTAAATAGGATACTGACTGATCGAACTCACGTGTCGTTGATGTTTTGACGATGTGCGCAAGTTTAATCGTGCGTTAGATGCGGACAACTGGTATATTCATACTATTGATTGGGTCCAAGACGTTGGTAGAGTGAAAGGATGTGTGTGATGTGCATAGGTGAATATTCTGTGCGGATCCTGGTGTATTGCTGGGCTTTTGTTGGAAGAGAGGATGTAGCTGAGATGTGACTGGTCAGGATTGCCTGTGCTTTGGTCTATTGTACCGTAATTTGAGGTGCTGAGGGATTTGCGTGATGTTCTCAAGTTGTGCAGCGCTGCTGAGTAATGTTTCTTGTTGTCTGCAAGGTTGCCTGTTTGTGATTGTTTGTGAACGCAACTATAGGACTTTTGGCCCCTGGTTCTGTGTGCCTTCATCTCTGCTGACGGTTTAGGCCCGTGGCCTGGCCGTCGCTGACCTTGATGTCAACATTCCCTTTTGGGAGTTAGCCACAACTCGTGATTTTGCGGCAAACAGTCCTGTGCGGCTCAGGATTCCAGAGCGAATATCCAACCCCGCCTGTCCAAACACATCTTCGGTCTGTCTGCGGTGGCCCTAAAGCCCCAACTACTGTCTTCCGCGGTCCATGCCGGCCATAGGAACGGGAATCCAGCGCCGATTTTCGTGGCATATGGATGCTGGTGTCGCCTCGTCAGCGCGCTACTCTTCGCACTCATCACCGTTAGATCTCGTTACTCATCTAGCGTGTCAAGGGAAATGCCATGAGACCTTGAGTTCGTTGGTCCAACGTTCCAAGCAAGAGGCAAAATGCAAAAAGCTCAAAACGAATAGGTCCGATGAACCAATTTGTTCATCTTTGGACCCTACATGTTCTTATCCTCCAATATTATTCTCAGTCTCCCTTTCTTCTTCCTGACCTTTATACTTGAAGTATATTTAACGGCATACAACACCTGCATGGGTTCTAGTTTGGCCATTCTTACGGCTGATGACAGCTAAACATCCCGATGAATGTCATCATGCCCTTTTCTCACGCACACGAAAAAGCTGCGTATTTGAACACATTCAGGATGTGGTCACACCCTGGATATGGGCGTCAATTTCCTCGAAATCAACGATAGGGGGGAGGACATGGGGTCCCAATATCCTATTAGACATCCAGGATATTAGACATACTGACAATGTAGCATTGGTACTGGACGGAGCCAGCTCAGGCTGAAGCCCATTAAACCGAACACACTCGAATCAATAAAACAGGGATCCCCATGGGAAGGGTTCAGGCAGGCTCACTGTCCACACACAGTTGGCAACAATGTACATATAGAGCACGAGGATTCCCTGTGGCAAAGAACATCGGAACAACTCATTCCAATCTCGCAACACCCAAACCCCCTCCTTCCGTTCTCCACACAAAACACTCCAGCTGAACCTTGTAAACCAGATGATCTTCTGTCGACCAGAACCTCAAGCTCACACTACTGGAAGCCTACTTAGCCTAAGAGCACAATTTGCAATTGTGCACAAGTGCACGAGTACAGCAGAAACGGCGAGTTTTCAAAACCAGGCACCGTGTCGCCATGTCAAATTGGGTCCCCATGAAAACGCCATTCGAGCAATATTCAAACCACAGCACCTCCAGCAACTGGGGCGTGAATCCGGGATGGCAGCCACCAATCCAAGCCAGTCACTTTACAGAGGAGGCCACGGTCCACAGACACCCCACCAGGATTGGGCCCTAAGCTGTGTGGCCCAAACTTGCCCCACAGCCAGCCAACCATCGATCTGATCGACTACCTTGACCACCAACACTAAACTGCCATCTGATGACCAACCCCATCAGGCTTTGGTCTCCGAACCAAACCTGCGTATCATCCAATCCACCAGCAGAGCGTTCAGCTCCTCTGGCTTCTCCTGCTGAGTGAAATGGCCACACCCCTTGATCACGTGCTTCTCCAGGTTCGGCACCATCTCTTCCAGCCCATCCGCCATCGTGGGGGGAAGCACGACATCGTCCTCTGCGCCAATGTACAAGGCGGGCTGCTTCAGCAGGGGTGGCTCTGCTGGCATGGCCTCCCAGTTGCGGTCCAGATTGCGGTACCAGTTGATGCCGCCTGTGAAGCCTGTGCGCTTGAAGGTGTCTGCATCAGAGCAGGGCAATCCATTCAACCACATTCGCCAACACACAGCAAGAGCAACGCACCCCAGCACAACATAACCCCAACCCCCAGCACAACTACCACCGCTTCTGAACCAAGAGAAAAAGCGTGGGTCCCATGCATCTGTGAGGTGACGATGAAACATGGTAGAGCATCCAAGCCAGCGGACAAGGGACGGATCGCAGGGACACAACAGAAATCATGCAGCATGTTACTGTGCAGTGCACGAAAATCAATGCAGTGTTGTACAGTGTGAAACAGTAGTAGTAGTAGTAGTGAGACAGTAGTAGTTTAGTGTATCGTATACTTCCTCTGTCCCAAATTAAATTGCAGTTATGACCATTCCGTAGCGTCATCACGAACACACGCCACTCAGTCAAGCATTTCAAGGTGGCTACAAAATAGCCCATTTTCGGGTCGTGGATTATATCCCCTTGTGGTGTCCTCAATCTTGTAAAGTGAAGCGACCTCAAGACATGTTTCAGATTGCAGGTTAGAGACAAGATGCAAAAGCAAAGGGCAGGCCACCAGCTCGTCTCGAAAGGCATGATTGAGGATCTTGCCTATCTTTTGCCTTAATTACCATTCCCCGAATAGTGTGCTGGTAGTGCGCCGCAACTTTTCAACTTTTATTGCAAATTGCTCTTGCCATGTCTTGGGACATCCATGGCTCCCTTGCCATATATGGGACAAGTTCATTCCGGGGCGATTGCCGATTACATACCAGAACGGCTCACCAATGGTCTCAATTATTTGGCACGTAGTAGTCTCGAAATTACAGGCGAGATCCTTGATCACACATTTTTGGAATGCATCGAGAGTCTGCCCACTGCCTCTATATCTCTGCTCCATCCCACAGTCTAAAGCGCATCTCCGACTCTTGTCGTTTCACTTGATGAGAGCCACCACAAAGTGGCACACCCCAGGGCCGGGAAATAGGTGGTTTTGGTGCCACCTTGAAAAACTGGGGTATTCCCAGAAAAGTGGAGACTGTTCAAAATAGCACTACAAATTGACCGCCCAACCGATTGGCTCAAAGTTTTGGTAGCACAAACTGGGCATAAATTGAAACATGGTGACAAATTTTAGTGAAACTATGATAAGTCCTAGTGGGTTTTCCAGGGCCATAGATCATAGCTGCAATTTCATTTGGGACGGAGGAAGTAGCATAAAGCCATACAGTACATTGCCATAGGTGTACACCAGATTGCACTGAAGCAGAGTGCAATGTACTGTCAGTCTATCCCCCACAATGAAGGCCATGTGCTTGACCAAATCTCCAGCATAATGGATAAGAATCTTCCCTTTTTTCTGCTCAGGAAGTGTGGCCTATGCTTGACCTGTTTTTTCTTCTCTTCCAACTGAATTCTCCAGGGAAAGAATCCAGGGATGGTGCAACAGTGTTTGACAAATGGAGGTAAGGACTCCAGGTGTTGTAGAGTGCAGTACCGAACAGCACAATGTATCACAGCACAGTACACTGCAGCAGACGTCAGTGCAATATGGCATAAAGCGGCAAGATATAAGACATATACGAAGAATGTGCATGATAAATGGGTTCTGATCGTGAATATGTAGCACCAATGGAGAACACAAACATATGCCATGGCATGTCTTCAGCCCCTCTGAAAGATGCTCATCCCACAGTGCAAAAATTCATTGCTGTGGCCACAAAATTTTTGCTTTTGCATCCACAACAAATTTGGATTGCTTGCTTTGCTGCAATTGCATTGTTTTTGAATTTTCAGCAGCTTTCTGGAAATCCTAGTGGATGTCTCCAGGCGCTGTCACAAACACAAGTTATGCACTATGATCGCTT